GGGGGGGGACACCATGCAGTGGGACAGGTGTCCTAAATCTCCTTAATAAATAAAGATGACTGATCGTCTAAACAGCGAGTAGATGAGTTTGGGTAAGAATGTGTACATGTAACTTGTGCGTATCTGTTGTGAAGATATGAGGGTCCTGAGGGGAAAGGTCATTCACAAGAGCACATCTATTTATATCGGTGAGAACCTCCCTTATTTCTTGAGTGACCATGCCAGGTCGATTTTCTTAAATGATCACTGATGCTACAAACACGGTCCAAATTTTGCCGACGAGTTGTAAAAGCACAAAACTAAGATGTTTGTAAATAATCTTTGGTTACTAGGCAACCAAACAAATATTCATGTGTTATGTTAAAAGAACTGAAAAAAGAGATAACAATGTAATCAATTTATGTAAAATATCAGACGACTTGAAAAGAATGACGGATAACGATATTGCATTACTGAAATGCCAACACTTTTTCTTTTATTCAATGTAACTGGTAAACATGAAATTGCCACACAAACGCAGTACAGGAAATTAACGAGATCTCGCGTTGGTAACGTGCGGACGCATGCATCATTACGTATTATAATATAATATGTTCAAAGGTCACGGTCATATTAAATTTAATATTTAAATTTTGTATTTAAACTTTAAAGTGATCGTAGAACGGTAGAAAGCATTGACAGATTGTTATTTATGTTTTTAAATCCAGATAAGTGTCTACCGGGTTACATATTTACCTGCCCGTTCATGATATTTCGGATCATCCTCGATACTCCAGGGGTTACCGTCACGTTCGCTCTCTGCACCCCTGAAATATGGCATAGCTAAACTGAAGGCTCAGAGTGCACCACATTATAATAATAATTCAAGGTTCTAATATACCGCTTTATCACAACCTAGCTCGTAGGCCGTCTCAAAGCAGTTCACAAATTATTATCCATGGTTATACGGCCTTTGCAACCAGCCAATACCTTTCTCAACTCCCTGGGGAACATACAGCCGGTGCTGCCATTTCGGCGCTCACAGCTAGCATTCAACAAGTCCAGCACTTCCCAACCCCGTACTCATTTACAGCTGAGTAGACTGGAACAAGCGGAGCAAAGCATCTTGCTCAAAGATACAACACAGTGCCGTGACGCAACTCGAACCCGCAACCCTTCGGTCACGAACCCGGCGTCCTACCACTTGACTATGAATTCGGAGGCGTTATTTTTAGTACGAGACTGGTCTTAATTTTAGCGACGACTTTTTAAAATAATTTCTTAAAGATTACACACCGACATACACGTTTGGAGAATGCCGGAACCTACACAGTTCAAAGCGTCTCAACTTTCAGTGTTTAAAATGTCTTGGCTAACGAGATCGGAAGTTTCCGGATTAACGTAGCCAAAGAATAAGGACCGCTGACATGTGAAACATTCAGGTGTCCAATTGTTGAATGTTTCCGGAAAAATCCATTGTTAGTCTCCAGATTTTTGAGTTTTGAAGTATTCGGACTAACGAGTCAAAAACTGTTCGGAGGAACGACACATAACTTCACCAGAGTAATTATGATTAATTTCTTGCGTACAAACGAGATTTACATTTTATGGACTAACACTATTTTAACTATACATTCGTACGAGACCGAACGTGGACGAACTAACGAGGTTTAACATGTACGAACTTACAAATGGGTTATAAACTTTCCGGATTTCCGAGGTGAAATTTTTCTCGACAAAAAAAAATCCGGATTTTATTTCTTAAAGCCATGATATCCCAACATCAATTGATTAACATGTAACATTTAGGAAATATGAAAGAAACGTTACTATCAGCTGGTTTTTAAATTCAAACACATATCTCTTATTACCGAGAACGTTGTACGCATGTATATACAACAGGGTAGTGTTAGGTTAAGCGTGTTGACCCAGATTTCAAGGTCTTTGCTCATAACCTTGTGACAAAGGATATTAAGGGACATCACGTGAAAAGGCGTTTTTTTTAATGAATGTATGTATTGTATGCACTTCCACTTACGTTACCTCGCTATCCCCATATTCATAGTCCGTTCCAAATGTCCAGTTTGACCACTTGAATTGTTCGGGAAAGCCCGGCTAAAAATAGCGCCGATAACGTCACCTGATTAGGCAGCAAACACAAGTGGTGCGAGCGAGATGAAACGGTTTACAAAGGGGCCCTCAGAGAGGGGCCGTCAGGCAACTGCAACTTCTTACCGCACTATGAAACCAAGTTATATGATTTCTAATTCCGTATTCAAACTTATTGAACAGTAATTATTCATCATCAGAAGTTAATTGCACACTTGCCAATATTAAGAATTTAAATTTATTTAGCTTTTAACATAAATTTGTTGCCAATAAAATTAAACAAAGGATGGGGCACAAGTTTTTACAATTTATCACAGCCTTCTCCCGTGACCGGTACAGGTGGTACGGGGCTAAACACTCCCTCAACAATGGGACAAACCTTTCTGTAAAAAGGAATATTCACGAGACGAATATCCCTTTTCAAATGTTTACATAAAGTGCATATATGCAATGACAAACTACACGCGAATATAAAAAGGAAACGTTTGTGAATTTATTTATTACATTAAACAACTCAATGTCTTTGGCCATTTTTTTTCTAGACCATGAATATAAATCTATGTATACTCTCTTTCCCACTTTCACTGTCTCCAAACGCTAACATTTAGGAAGTCATATTAACCATCACACACAATAAACTGTATGGCAAAACCACTACGTGTACATGTAGAATATGTGTCAATAAGGAACGTGTTGAGATACTTGATAATTATATTTTTTCAATACTTTACAGAGATTAAAGCATACTTTTAAATGGACCTTTTTATGCTGAGACAACTTTTCTTTAATCAGTTCCTTTGGTCCGAAACAGAAGCCGTAGTTATCGGCAGCACGCGCCATTTTTATAACGTAATCAAATATTTTTTCCCCTGTTTTCAATACGTATTCCGATTCTATCTGAAGTCGAAAATTTATTCTTTATAGAGAAAAGGTTGTTACATGATCATACATTCTAAGTCAACATCATATGAAAACATGAACTGTTGAAAAATTACGATTTAAAAAAAAAGTGTTATGCGATCCTATTTACTAGAAGTAGGTTCTCCTTCCTCAGTTATTCATCCTGGTCCGTCATTTTGACATTTTTAATCTAGCTGCGATAACGTAGCTTTCTGACGAAGAGCGATTTTTTTTTTATATATTGCGTCGTCGCGCCAGGGCAGGCCGGGTATTATATTAGTACTAATTTAAAACTTGCATGTCAAAACAAAAAACAATCGTTTAATTCAGCAATATAATTAAATCATACCATTTTACTGATCCCGGTAATATTATAAATTATGTAAATCTAATAGCGCACGTATCTCATTTGACCCCGAGCACCGACAGAGGATCAGAGAACAGAATACGCCGTGGCCATCACAGCAGTTATCCCTTGGGGGGCCTCATGGCAAAATCAAACTAACCAGTCACTTATCCCTTTCGTTTGCATAAACCACTGTATAATTAAAAAAAACACAAAGTAAACTCTCTCCGATACATGCCCATTAACATATTAAACTAAGTTCATCTGTGTTCAAACTCACACAATGATACTAGCGAGGTTAATAGTTTTAGATATTTATTCATAACATAAACAGCGCTAGCATTTCTGTCGATTTTATTTCAGCTTAACCGGCCGCTATCCGGAAGAAAACATGCACCGTACTGACTGCTAGGGCAGTTATTTTCTGCTTTGAATACTTCCCACTGGCAATAATGATTCCGTAACGTACCCCTTGCGCTATCTTTTGACCATTTGGCAACTATTCGCTTCGTAGCTGACACGGTACAACACTTTTCTTTGGCTTACTTCACACGGCCAGTCATTTTGTTTACAAAGAAATGGTGTGCTATGCGCATGCGCTAGTAGAGGGAAATCCCTGAACAAAACGTTGGTCAGACAGGTAGAAATACCGATGATTATCTTAGATTTAATCATTTTTATGAATCTATTTCAGCCAAATCCGATCGGCATTTTCCATAAGGAGTCTCACTTGATATGTTTATGTAGTATTTGGAAAAAAGACAAAAAAAAAAAGGTTACTTCAGCGTGATGCCCGTTTAAAATCAAAGTGAAATCTGAACAGAAAAATGCTATATTTATCTAGATCTCCAACTGTTTACACACAACTTCCCACCGTATAATATATTCAAACGACCTCGCGTGGTATAAATAAACCGCCCAAACTAGGACTGTGTTGGTGTTCCCTATCACCGTAATGATCAGGAGGGAATCTTTTTCAGGTGTTTTTTTCAAAGTTCTCAAGAATAACTTTTTATCGTGATTTTTATTTCTTTTTCATACAGTTTGTATACTGTTCCACAGTTGATCAACATGGTGAGCGAGGCAGCGGAAATCTTTCGCCGTTCCTACAACCCGGAAACAGTGCAGCTGACCGGTCCCGATGTCGGAGTGGTGGTGGCGTACTTTGTCGCTATTTTGGCCATAGGAGCGTTTGTAAGCATTGCGCATCAGACGTAGGACTTAGAATAAGACCATTCATCATTATGTCTGCCTTATAGCATCTAGTACACAGTGTATCAGAAACACAGGAAACCCGGAAATTATGTCATCAAGGATCCGCGTACCACTGACAAAGCTGTAACTACCCATTGGAAACTGGTTTTTCTCCGGCATGACTATAGCTTTGATAAATTATATGTTTACAAAAAACTTCTCAGACATTTATGAAAAAACCGAATAAAGATGAAATAAACAAAATATAATCAAAAGCAGTGTTTTGAGTGTAAAATTTTAGCGGGGCCAGAACGGTATTCGAACCCTGGACCTCAAATGTTAAACTGTTCCTCTAACCGAATGAGCTACCTGCATTGATCGACGGAAGTGTCCTGGCCAAACTGCGCTATCGTTCTAAACTCTAAAATTAAGGGGAGGTAACTGTATATAAGAAAACCCAGAATGCAGTGGGGCAGGGGTCCTTCAAATTATATTAAAGCAATAAATCGTCATTGCATTGAGGTACAGTATAACCGATAGAAAATAGGGTTTCCGAAAGTGCAAAGTTGCAAAAAATTAAAACTTTCATAGCGAATGAATCTTGTCGATGCCCAAAAAGGAGTTTGGTTTATTTGTAAGACATTTGGTACGTTTTAACTATTAATTTATTGTTATGATTTTTTATTATTTAATTTCGTGACTTATTTATTTTGGTGAAATAACGGTAAATGTTCTTCCATGACGTATTTTTTTAATATTCAGAAAAATGCTGCATCATCGTATTTTTGTTATGCAAATCAAGTAATGTATATGTAAAATATTGTTTTCTTAACCAATCAGGCCATGTGGCGGTCAAATAGAGGGACGGTCAGCGGGTACTTTTTGGCGGGAAGATCTATGACCTTCATTCCGGTTTGTATCTCACTTCAAAATGGAAATGGTTAATAAAACACGGACATGTACTGACTTTCGAAAAGCATAGACATTGAAATTTTGAACACAAAAATAAGTTAAATTGGTTTTTACATTTTGAGACTAGTGAAGATATATTTTGCGTTTTTGTTGAATGATAATTTATCAACCTGTAAAAAATACTTCTCGAGAATTTGTTTTTATATGGGATCAATCTTTTAAATTTGGTATGAAATATTATCAAATTTCCAGCTGGGAGCCTCCCTGTTCGTCAGTAATATTGGCACGGAGCATTTCATAGGTCTCGCGGGATCTGGAGCCGCAAACGGGATTAGTGTCGGTGCATGGGAGTTCAATGTGAGTATACAGTATTGTGGTCTAGCTGTTCCATGTAAGTATACAGTTACCGGGCCTAGTGTTTTCTGTGTAAGTATGTAATGTACACAGTATCCGGACTTTGGAGTCAAATGTTGGTATACATTGTCGTGGCCTGCATTGACATTAAATTTAATGTGAGTATGCAGTGTTGGCACCTGGAATCTCACTGTAAAGTATGCCTGTGTATATACTCTATCGGGGCCTCATTCTACTGTCGAGTGTTTTTATCATCAACTCAAATGTGTCAAATACTGCTTTTTTCTGGAAGATTTTCTTAGTTAAACGACTTCGACGAAACAGATTTTGAGTGACAACTACTTTCTGACCGTTGTAACGTTAATGTTACACCAACCAATAAAAGACAGTTCCATCTAAATGTGTCGTTAAACAGGGGGTAGCACTTACTGTGTACTAGACGTAACACTTTTAAAATGTAACATTCTAGTGTCAACGTTTCAGGGTATTATTCACTGATTTGCTTTCTTACATTTTTGTATATATCACTTAAGAAAACAGTAGGCCTGTGTTATGTTGAAATTAGACACAAGATTGTAGAGATTGAAGTGTTCGGACTAACGTCTTCATCTATTTGTGTATTGTTTGATTTTTTTGGGTTTAACATCCTCAAAACAGCCAGGGTCATATGCGGACGGGTGCCTAGGGAGACAACAGCCCGGGTCATATGAGGACGCGTGCCTCGGGAGACACAACAGCCAGGGTCATTTGAGGACGGGTGCCTAGGGACACAACAGCCAGGGTCATATGAGTACGGGTGCCTAGGGAGACACAACAGCCAGGGACATATGAGGACGGGTGCCTAGGGAGACACAACAGCCAGGGACATTTGAGGACGGGGGCCTAGGGAGACAACAGCCAGGGTCATTTGAGGACGGGTGCCTAGGGAGACAACAGCCAGGGTCATATTAGGATGGGTGCCTAGTGAGACAACAGCCAGGGTCATATGAGGACGGGTGCCTGGGGAGACAACAGCCAGGGTCATATGAGGACGGGTGCCTAGGGAGACACAACAGCCAGGGTCATATGAGGACGGGTTCCTAGGGAAACAACAACCAGGGTCATATGAGAACGGGTGCCTGGGGAGACAACAGCCAGGGTCATATGAGGACGGGTGCCTAGGGAGACACAACAGCCAGGGTCATATGAGGACGGGTTCCTAGGGAAACAACAGCCAGGGTCATATGAGAACGGGTGCCTGGGGAGACACAACAGCCAGGGTCATATGAGGACGGGTGCCTATGAAAAAGAAATAAAAATCACGATAAAAAGTTATTATTGAGAACTTTGAAAAAAACACCTGAAAAAGATTCCCTCCTGATCATTACGGTGATAGGGAACACCAACACAGTCCTAGTTTGGGCGGTTTATTTATACCACGCGAGGTCGTTTGAATATATTATACGGTGAGAAGTTGTGTGTAAACAGTTGGAGATCTAGATAAATATAGCACTTTTCTGTTTAGATTTCACTTTGATTTTAATATCCTTTGTCACAAGGTTATGAGCATAAATATAAAAACAAAGAGTTGGGAAGGCAGAAAGGAAAGATACGGATCTTAAGTGTTACAATAAGGACAGAAAATATATATGAATTACTTCATTGTCCTCTTTGTAGAAGACAAAAGGAAAACTCCCGGCACTGCGTCGCTTCTTACGATAACGTGAACAAACTGAGGTGCAACAGGCGTATTCTTTTTCCCAAAGTGCAACCCCCCCCCCCTTTCTCTCTCTCTCT